TCACGAAATATATAACGACGTTTGAAGTAGCTAAAACAACAAAATCCTATTATTACTATAACTATTAATATTCCAAGAACTATTCCAACTATTTCTTAAGAAAAAAAAAGAACATAAATATGAATATAAATTGAAATTAAACAGCATTTACATATGTGCATTTGTATTTAACTTTACCTATTATAGGTATTGGCATTGTTGAACTATTTTGCTGTACTGGGCCTTCATTTATCGAAGAACGAACTTCGATTGTACTTATGGAATGAGGTGAAGATATTATATATGGTGAAATATCTGGTTCTGTCTCATCTCGTTTTTCGGGGTGATCAGATGATTGTAAGGATAATGGCTTTTGTGTTACGGATGGGGAGAATGGGCGGGTCTCGAATAAACGAAAACAATCATTATCCTTGACGTTCTCGCCTATAATAAAAGGTATTTATTTCTCTAATTGCAGGATTAAATATACCAAAATTTTAATATTAGAATTACATACTCTGCGAGCACAAGGTATCAAGATCGTTATGATTTTCTTTATTCATAATATCATTCATTATTTGAGGTTTTTTTTTTAATAAAAAAAATATCGGAATTATTTGAAAGAATTTTTAGATATTATTACGGCCGAGGAATGAGAAAAACATAAAAGAAAGCCAAAGAAACCTCAAATCATGGAGAATGAAGGCCCTAGAGAACGAAAAAGCTTCAAGAGACAACTATTGGAGGTAATATATAATAATGAATAAGTTTTTTATGAACTAATAAGAACAACAAAATACGTTGTTGACTAAAATAGTACATTCGTGTATTTTATCGACCCGATGATGAGGTAAAGAACGAAAGGCCCGTGAGACAATTAACTAAAAAAGGCAACAAGAAATTTTCATTATCTCTAAACGTATGCGTTTGTTTCATGATCTGAAGGTACGTACGTACGTACCTGTCTACAGTATAATTGATATCACGTATTCTTCACAATCCTTCTACAACATTGGTAATACTGATCATATCCGTCTGCTACATTTGTAATAATAAATCACACAAATTATAACACAAAGAATGCACGAAAAAGAACGTATGAAAGAACAATTTAGAAAGCAAGATCTTTAATTAGATCATAAGTTTTTGTTACGTAAATGCTTCAAAAGTCCTGAGTGAGTTTTACTTTATCCTTTGTCAATGCTTAGTTTAATAATTATTAGAATAATGAACAATATCAAGTAGGTATAATGATTGTCGAATCGAACTTATGCATATTTGTTTGTTAATCATCTGTTTTCTAGAAACGGTAATGGCGTCATGTATATCAATTTAATATGTACTAACGAATAAAAAATTAACAGTAAATTTAAATGCAATAAGTTACAATGAGCTAAATAAAATTTGGTGGAGAAATTTAATTAATAATTTAAATTTTAGTCATCATTATGTATGTACATCGCATATTAGCGTGAACATGAACAATGAATATATACGTACGTGCATATAACTGTTAATAAATTACGGTTCAAAAATTTATTTTTAAACTTAATGCCGTAGCTTACTAAATTAGTATAGTAAAAAAATAAAAAATACCGGTATGTAAACTTGAAATATATTTATTATGTATATTCATTTTTACTAAACGCAGATATAAGAACGTACAAGGGTATAGACATTTGTGGGATGGGGCACCGTTAGATTTTTATTACGTACTACGTATTAGTATCAGTTTTTAGTTAGCAAGCATTGGGTATATTTACTTTGGTTGTATCACCATTAGTATGTATGATATATGGCGAATAAATGATTTAGAGTGCAAACTTCATCATAAAAGGTTAATTAATTTATTAAAAGTTCTTTAATATATCAATAAAATATAACGATAAGCTATGACTCGCTATACTATTTAATTTATTATGATAATTATTCAAATTGGTAAAAAGTGATAAATAATCTGCTTTTTGATTAATTCTAGATAATTTTAAGTTTATAAAAGACATATTTCTCTTTTTTAATTTGAAATATCAGCATACAAGATTAATATATCTGCATAATATTATGTTTTTAAAATTGTAAACAAAAAATTTTGCAATTATTTAACTTCAATTTATTTTTTAAAAATATAGTATATAGTACTGTATTGTTTTTTTATTAAGAAACGGTTGATATATGTATAAGCTAAAATAGCTATTAATTTTGGCGATAAAAACCGATGAAAAAAACATGAAACATGGTTCTTTCAACACCCAATAAATGTTTGACATAACAATTCTTATTTAATGGATCTAAAGTATTACATACAAAACTTAGATACGTAAGTAATATAGTATCCATATTCGAACGTGGCTTTTTTTTTCTAATTTTTACCAAATTCACTGAATGAAGGCACATATGTAACAAATCTTTAAAAGATTTGCCTTTTGGTCGTTCGTAAGTTTGTAAGTATAAAATTAAGGTGTTGTTTATAATCGTAAGGTTAATGAAACGACGTTGTGTAGACTAATAAAAAAAGAAAAACGTATAGTATACATATATGTATACTATTTTATATAGATATTTGGTACCTTAAATTTTTTACTTACTTTATCAGGTCACAAGAATGACTTGTCCATGTGATTAATTTAAATGGGATCAGGTATAGTGTGCCAGGTTTATGAAAGATTTCCTGAACTACGAATCAGATTTCAAGATCAGGCATAACGTAATACGATCAAGAAAATTTAAAACGAACATTTGTTTTGTCAAAAATTGTTTACTTCTCAAAAATCAACATAAGAGATCATCTTTAATGCATTAATAAAAAGGGTTCATTGGCAATTTTACTATATAACCTGACCCTAACCCTATCCTAAGGTAACTGATCTTTAAAGAATTTTGGTTGCACTGAAAACCTGCACACATTCAGAGAATTGTATAGAACGGATCATATTTATACAATTGATAAGAAAAATTAATTTGGATCGATTTAGCGATGTAATTAATTAACAATAGACCGTAATGAAGTGATGATAATAAAATTAAGAGGAAAATAAGTGAATTGCTAAAAAATATTTATTATTTTCAAAACAATATGTATATAATGTACAAGAAAAAATGGTTGCCAATTTAGCCTTTAAACAGAATTTTATTTATATTTAATATTGCAATATTAAAACAAGTTTTAATTAAGCATTTATCATCTTTTATTATTACATATTCTTATGCATAAGAATATTTATTCTTTAGGGTTCCCGAGATTATATTCATGCTCTTTAATAATTAGAAATAGTATTAGAAATTCATAATTCTCTTAATTTCTTTACGTTCTGCAATTATCAACAAGTGCTTCTCATATTCTAATTTTTCTATCATAATCATGTCAGATTATTTAGGCTCATTATTATCCAAGTTTATTCTTGAGATGTATCAACGGTTAAATTAATTACTTGTAATATTCGGTATTTTTTATTTTGTTTCTTCATTGAAAAACAGGCTTTAGATTATCTCTTACACCATTTCGCAGGCAAATTTGCCTGCAAGTTGCATTTTCTCGGAAAATTATAATCTAAGGATAAATATCATCATAAGACTAAGTCATTTTGGGTGAGAGTCTTCGAAAAATGGTATTCTTTTTGGCACATGGTCTTTCTATACTTTTATTTTCTTGCTCACTTTTCGGGTCCTCATGATTGTACTACCTCAAAATGTCCGACATGTCTAAATATTAATAATCTTCTCACTTTTAATGTGTGGGAGCCTTACGGTGTTGGATAGCCGTCTTTATACTTATGAGTATGATCATCTTATGAGCCATCTTTATAAGTCTGGTTATTAAATATAACGTATAAGTATAAAAGATCTAAGGTTGTACTACGCTACTACTTTAGATAGGACTCGTAAAATTGATTTTCTTTTCAGATGTGAACGTCAAAGTATTATCAGTGCAGATAGAAAAGAGAAGGTAAGTTAAATATAAAACCAATTATTGTATAATATTTGAAACGAAATATAAGACGAATATTCACGCCTAGTCTGCAGCCTTTTCCGAAACGGTATTTCCCTAAACGTCCCCCAAGCGATGTTATGCCTTGCTCCGAATAGTAATTATGAAGGTTGCTATTTCTTATTTCTGTGAAGAAAACCATATCCTTCCCGACTGAGTAAGTTTGTCTTAACGTTTATAATGAAGTGTAAATTTAAAGCTAATATTAAATGTCTGTAGTAAATATAGATTAGTATTGGTGAAAACACCAATATACAAGCTGAATGATAAGTAAACATTTATGAAATTCAAATCACGGAATTCTTATTCACGCAAACGATGTACGTCGTTATGTAAAATTTTATTAATTTTGCGGATTGTCAAATTATTTTTTATTCTTGTTTAAATGTTAACTTTCACATCTTCACTTTGTAGATTATTTTTACACGCTCACTTGACCCACAAGGAAGAAAAGTGCTTATAGAAACATTTTATGAAAACACCACTTTAAAGTCCTTAGATATTTCCAGCAACGATATTAGTTTTGGAGTAAATGTATTTCCAAAAGTTCTTAACAAAAATACTATTCTAACTTCTTTAAACCTCCTTAATTAATTCATTGAGACGCGTAAAAAAAAAGTACAACTGTAGATTTTAAATAAATTTTATATTGTATTTATTATTGTATTTTATTTCTAATTAATTAAGTTAGCCCCGATACCTGATTTATATTATTACATACTTTGCTATTTTTTTTCATGTAGCATGTGGGATTATATTAAGGAATCTGATATGCCATAATATATGTTATCTAATAAAATATTTTTTTAAATTATTTTGGTATGGCCGAGTAACTTTATTTGTAAACTTTTTTGAGAACTACTTTGGACTTCGTAATGTTATCAGTTATGAAGTAAAAATTTATGATTTATTGGTTAATAATCACGTGTAGATCTACAAATCGAAAAAAATTCCGCTCTAATCTCTATGTAACGGTAAACGATAAACTAATTAGAAAACTTTTCTTTTTACAACATTAAAACACTAAAAATCTAAAATGTTAAAGGAACAACTGATATTTTTAGTTAAAAACTTGGGCCGATATGAACAAATAAATGGCTTGCTTAATAAATCGATACAATATTATCGAATTGGTGATGATTGTAAAAGTAAATACTTATAAACGCGACTAGGCGCGTCGCGATCTATGAATTGCTTCGGTATTTGACTGTTGTTGTTTTACTTTTTATTTCATCAAAAAATTTCTAAGCAAAAAAATGTTTATATTATTTTAGCTTCTCTTGACAACATCCTAACACTTGTTAAAGAACTTAATAATATTGATGTGTTAATTTATCTTTGGGACTTGCAATTGCTTGAAAAGCATTTGTTAACTATCTTTTTATTAAATAATAATATCAAAGATAATGAAACGAAATCCATAATTCTTATTATAAGTGAGTGTTATGTTATTTTTTTTTCTTATGTGGATTATAGTCAACATCAATAATTACTTACAAATCATTTTCGTTTTTGATAGCTGAATTATTTGTCTTGATGACAACACCAATTGATCTAAATCAGATTGTTGATTTCGCAGATGATAATGCATGTCTACAAAGGGATATCTTAAAAGCTCAATATGCTTATAAGGATTTATTTACAAAAAATCCCGCAGCACTCAGAACATTATTAAATCTACTCAATGATCATTTAATCATTGAGGTCAGGTAAAGTATCTTTTTAATATTTCAATTTTTTTAATTATCTATTTTATAATATTCAAATTATCAAAAATAGCAATTAAATTTGGTCAATTCTCTTCCAATTCTCTATTGGATCATTGATACATGGTAGCAAGCCCACTGAAAGTAACGTTATGACCGTTTGCCTAGTGTTATCATTATTCCGAAATTTATTGGCTATAGATAAAAAGGATAAAATACTTCATGTTTGTAATATAAAATATATTAAATTATGTTAATTGGTTTTATGATTTTATATTTATACTTTTAAAAAATTTGCTTACATTTAATTACAGTATAATCTAGTACTTCAATATTATAAAGAAACTATCATTGAATGCTTTTGTTCATTCCATCAAAAATATATCGAATTATTTCATTGTAATATCATAATACAAGAAATATTCTATCATATTTTTCATGATATCGAACCTTCCGATATTTTGGTGAATCCCACTGTTGTTTGTAGATTTAAAATTATTTTATTATTTTATTTTATTACTATTAAATAAATCCTTTTCATGTAACCATTAATATTTTATTTTATAGGATGCAAACGAATTTTCAAAAAAACTTTTAGAAGATGAGGAAAAAAAAAAGGAAGATCGTCGTCGTTTTAATGAACGATTTAGTGGGAAATATTGGATTAAGATGCCTGTATGTATACTATTTTCGATTATGTTAATTAATTATTTTCGATTGTTATTTAATTATTTTCAATTATGTTATTTAATTATTTACGAATAATATTTATATGCAATTCAATTAATTACAAATATTCTTAAATTTAAGGATGGTTATGAAATTCTTACTTCCAAAAAGGACGCGCGTGCTGATAAACTTCCAAATGAGCAAGAAGAAAAAGAGAATAAACGTACGATCCGAGTATGTGTTTTATTTTATTTTAAAAATTGTTATAATTGTTATAATTGTTAAATTTTTTAACATTTAAAATATATTAATATATGAATATCATTATTTTAGGAAGAATGGCTGCCCAAGAAGAAATCCATACTTGATATTAGTGACACCGCGCGTGAATGTTTAAAAGTTACTGCAATAAAATTTTTAAACACTATATTTACCAGTATTTATAATTTTTTATCATTCTAAATTTGAATTTGAAGATTTCATTAAGACTTATAATAGTTGTTTTTTTTCCTTAAGCACTCGTACACTCCGTTGGAAAAGATCTGAAATCAGAACATTATAATGATTATCAACATTCCAATCAATTTTTCTATATTGTGAGATTTTTCCTTGAACTTTATCAACTTTTAAGCATTAAAGATTCAAATATTGTTTCGATAAAACATTGGCCAGATATTTTGAATTATAAAATATTTAAATTGATGTTTAATAAGATTAGATATTTCAAAGATCAAAAGGTAAGAAATAATTATCGCTGTTGATGCAGAAATTTTATTAATTAATAATAACTCTAATTCTAAACCCTAACTCGATCTTAAAAAATAGGTCAGACCTCAACATATTCCAGTTTCAGCATTAAGTTATAACAATTATTTAAATTTTTATATTAAAATATTGGCTCGTTATCTTCAATTGTAGTTATGGTCAGAACTTCAAGTTGGGCTAGAGTGTTTGAAGCAAATGGTAACTTTTTGGTACTTTGCAGATTTCTCATAAATAGATTTGTAATAATATACATACATAATATATAATACTAAAATATTAATTATATTATGATTGTTAGTCAAAAACCATTGAAACGATGGGTTCAAAACATTCTAATAAGGATCATGAAATTCGTAACAAAGCTCAACAACTGCAATATCGCATTTTGTGCGACCAAGAAAACTTGGAATTGGTTGTTGACGTTGTTAAAAGATCTTCCAAGCAATCTTTGAGGTATTAAATTTATTTGTAAATCATTAATTTTTAATTAAGTACATATTAATTATATGTTCCAATAATTATAATTTTAAATTACCTTGTGATATTTATTAAATAAAAAGCTTTCTTCGAAGCTTGGTTGAGACAGTGCACAGACTTTTATCTATGCTTGAACGAGTCAAGTCGAGAAAGTATATTTACGTTAAACAAAAACGTCAAAGTAATATATTTATTATCCGTTATAATTTTCATCATTCTTAATTATCACCATTCTAACATGTTTGATCTTTTTAAAGCAAATAGGTCTAACAAAAAGGTTAAATATATTAAAGATGAATATGAATATAGGATTGACAAAATTGATTCACGTGAGCAAAGATTTAGAACTGAAGCATTTGATAGATATGAGATGGTAAATAGATGTATTGAATTTTTATATAATATACTTTGTCGCAGTTTGTATAATTCTGTAGTCTAGTGATTGTTAAAATGATTATTAAATTGACGGTAATTATAAGTACTGTCGATTGTGATTGTGGTTCTTTTATTATGATTAGGTATGTTAAACGATCATTTGATCACAAATAATTGGTTAACACCGCCAAATATAATAGAAGTGTCACCATTAATCACGATCGATTGTGTGGTGATTGTCACTTTAACGATTACTAGGCTACAGAATTTTACAAATCGTAATAAATAAACCGAATTAGATTACATCAACATATATATTAATGATGACATGACACAGTGCTATGTTGATGAAGAAGTTCTATCGACTTATTGTGCACTACTGGATAAAGAGTACGAAATAGTTGATTTCGATTTTCATTACATTAATACGATGTTTTTTCGTATTTTTTCTAATTGTGAATCTTCAATTTTCATGAAGGTATGTTAATAATATATATATATATATATGGGTTTAATTGATTTGTGCATTTACATTTATAACCTTTTTTATTAGTTATCATTTATGGAGCTCTTGCACCGCGTTCTTGAACACTTTAATCAACTGACCGACTCTTTCCAATTGAATTTGAATGACTCACAAATTAAATTCAAAGAATTCGCATATAAAATTGTAAAAGACTTTGCTATACAAATGGAAAAGAATCCACTAACTTATATCGAAGTAAAATTCATCATCACTTTTTTTTTTTTTTTTAATTCAGTTACATAATAGATTTTAAACTTTTTTTTTTTTAATTAACTATCCATAATATTTTCACAGCTTATACTTCCTAAGATCGATTTACTTACACAACAAAGTGAACATGAATCTTATTATCAAGCATTACTACTACAAAGTGAACATGAATTCTACTATCAAGCATTACTACCAGAAGTAGATATGATGATCGATTAAGGGATGATCAAAACATTAAATAATCATTACCTGATACAATACATCACTTCTGAATTTCTTTATAATCGTCAACTATATTATTAATTATTTCACGTTATTCATGTTATTCGTGACTCGAAAATTTAAATGTAAATAACTTTTATGCTTAGACTAATCAATACGTATAAAATGAATATTCACATTTATTAAATAGTTTTAAGAATTGACAATTTTTAAAAATACAAAATCTATTATATTTCATTATGCTGCTTGAGGTTTTAAAATTATATCCAAAGTTGTATTCGTTTGAAATTATCATTTAAAATTAGATTTGCGGTTCATAAAATTTTGTAATAAATTTATTATATACTATTCAACCATTCAATTTAATACGTACAGTACTAGGAATGACAACTATATGGTACCGTATAATATAAATGGTATAATAACTGTATAATCAAAAAGACCCGTATACATCATTGGTAATCTTCTTCAGTATCGGCTTCAAAATTTTACGGACACGTGACCGTAGGGATGGTAAAATCTTTTGCCAAATCACAATTTTTTCTCCAAATTATGAGGATAATGTTATTGGCTCAAGACAAATATTATCATGTGATTAAAATTTATAGTACACTGCATAATAATTCGCATAATATGATGTGCTAGATTTTTTGGCCAATGAAATTGCTCGAATAGAATAAAAAATTAGGGCTTGAAACCGGTTTATTTATAAGTTAAAACCGTTTAATCAGTTTTAGCATATTAAAAATCAAACCAGATCCAAACTCTACAAACTGTAGAACCAATAACCAATCATGGTACGTTAAATAATTTAAACTAAAATTTTTGTTCTTAAAAACAAGAACAAATCTTGTACATTTGATAACTTTTTAAAAGAGTAACATTTTTTGTAAAGCTATTTTTTTTTACAGAGAATTAAAGCTGTGAGCATCATACATTCCAGTTCAACTATTGTGCTAAGTCCTGTAGTTGACATTTTAACCTTTAAAAAGTATTATAACAAAAAATGTAAATTCTATATACAAGCTAGTTTTAAAGATGCTTTTAACAGTAGATTCTAGCTATATAGTACATACCTATAATTTAAATGATCGGTTAACCCAGTTGGACGCGTGTTCATTAGCTGATTTGATCTTAGTTTTGGGTAATATTAAAATTGAGGTCCTTTTAATCGTTTAACCGTTTAACCGTTTAACAATTTAATTTGGCCGGCATTAAAATAATTCCAGCCCACGACCAACATAATTCTGCCCGGAACTATGGAGCAATTTTTAAGCGGTTAAACGGTTCCAATCCTTAGTGGAAACTAAGTGTAAATATGGATTCGGAATTTTTTGTGCAAAAAAAATCCCAAATGTGAGTTTTTTTTACACAAAAAATTCCGAATTCATGTTTCCACTTACTACAGATATGCTACTAGCTAAAGTTGGAAAATGCCCCACCATTTCACTATCGGAGAACTATAAAATTGATTAATAACACAGATACTCCGATATGTGAATAATTAGTAGAAATGATGAGGAAAATTAGTAAATTCACGTTAGGGCACTAAATAAGGTTTTTCTTATCTTACGACAATTTAAAAGACCTCAGCCTAATAAAATTCTTCCTAGTACATGACAATTTAAAAGATAATGAAAAGCTGCTTATTATAAAAAATGCGAACAAAGAAATATGCGCTACTTATTATCTATTGACATTTTTTAGTGGTTTTGATAGTACATTTAATAAGTTTTTTCCTCACTCATCATGCTCAGAATCTATGCCTTCTTTAACCGGTTACTACAGGTCTTTTTATTAGCGTTAGTTTCCAATAAATCGGTGATTTTTGACGTATAGCAAACCAAACAAAAATGTAGATATTTTGATATGAAAAAAAGAAAAGGTTTCTTTTTCTTCATATTAATATTCCAGAAATCGTCATACTAATCGTTGAAACTCCGTACGTAACTGATCTTGGTGGTTATGCTAAGTTCGTGAAATAAAGTTCTTTCTAGCACACGACAATTTAAAGGACTCAAAACACTGATTTATGACAAGATTATTCACATCGGCCTATATGAATCATGTAGTTTTCACATAGACAGATGAAAATAACCTTGTCAAAAAGCACTGGTTGTTACTAGAGATGCATGCGAATCGTCCCAATAATGTCCCAATAGTGTTACAGCTTAAGCCGTAAAGCTCATATCGTAACTAGTTACGGCAATCATTGGGACGCTTCGCGTGCACCTTCAGTTATTACATAGTACCCATGGGATAAACTAGTTTTATACGTAACAGTTTTAACTTTAATTGTCTAATTAATATTTTTAACTATACAATAATTATTAGTTTTATCATATGACAAACCCGTTGTGTCGGCATCACTACTCCGTAAATAAGATTTGCAACATAAATTGACATATACAAGCATAATGGGAGATAGGCAAATAAAATACATTTTTAGATAAATGCATCCTTACATGAGTACGTACGTATATACTCATTAACTTTGAAAGATAGAACTCAGTGGGATCAATGCCACCAAGTGCGTGGAATATTGAAAATAAACCAGTTTTTTTGTATGTAGATGGCTATAAAGTGAATTATGTAGGCCCTGATGATTATAAAACTACTGCATCAATTCGAGCCAATAATCCAATTTCTTCACAGTGTGGATCGTTTTACTTCGAGGTTGAATTTAAAGATAAAGGAAAAAATGGTGTTATTGGAATAGGACTTTGTACGAAAGAGCATAAAAATGCAAACATCATTGATTCAGATATCATGCCCATGATTGGTCAAGATGATGACTCATGGGGTTATCATGGTGATGACGGATATTTTTATTGTTCCGGAAGAAGCGATCCATATGGTCCATTATATACTACTAATGACATTATTGGATGCTATGTAAATTTTAGAAATATGAAGATTTATTATACTAAAAATGGTGTAAATCTAGGGATTGCATGCGATCTAAGTGTATCCGACCATTTAAAAAATAATTTGTATCCTTGTGTTGGACTAAGGTCGCAGGGAGGATCTGTAGAAGTAAATTTTGGTCACAAGAAATTTAAATATTCTTTAATGACTAACGATGATATTGGTGATGAAGAACTATTCGGAAAAAACTGGATTGAAACATTAAATGATGAAGAATTTACACAGCTATGTCAGCAAAATGATGTAATCTCATTAATGCTTCGAGGAAAATTTTATTTAAGTATGAATCTGTATGAAGATGCACTTACTGATTTAAATAAATCACTTGAATTTGAACAAAATAATGTATATGCCCTGATGTATCGTGTAAAAATTTACTTAATACAGGGTGAATACGAAAAAGCATTAGTAGATTTGACTACATTGCTTAACATTGACCCAAATGATGTATTTGCACTAAGGTATCGAGGAGAAACCAATCATATAATGAAAAAATACGAAGAATCTCTCTCAGACTTGAAAAAATTATTGAAAATTAAACCAAATGATGCGTGGGCAACGAATGCTCACAATTTAGTCAATGACATTTTTATTCGAAAGAGAGAAGAAGATTTCCGCCTTGACCCAAGTCTAATTTTAGACTTCGCATCACGTTTGAATCTTGTTGAAAGACGGAATCCTCAAAATTTTGTAGAAGTATTTGAAACTATACTTGGGCGACAGCAAACGGATTCGGATGATACGTATGATGATATTATTCATGATATTTTTCGTGATCGAAATGTTATAGATCGAATTAATTTTTCTCTTTTGCATCTTCCGGAGAATTGGAGTAATATGAGGAATACTTTAAGGAATTCAAATTTATGTTCCAATCTTCCAGATCAGCCAAATTTTATAGAATCTCTTTCTTTTATTTTGCCTACCAGATCCTCTCAACTTTCTGCTCTTCTTCCAGGGGATAATCTTTCTTCACTTTTATCAGCTTCTGCTTCGCTAATAGAAACAGGCCCACTGAATGCTCTGGATTTATTATCTAATTCTCTTTTTCCTCATCTGGGCTCTGATTTTCATCGAATTTGTCGGGGTAAATTTGTTGATTTGCCTTCTTTCGCATCAGAACGATTCTCGTCAGAATTTTGTAATTGGACGAGCGGTAATTCTGATATTGATGAATTCATTCAACAGTCGCAACTCGAAGCAAACTGTTTTAGCAAAATTATTGAATGGATTCCTTTTAATGAATTTACAAATATTAAATATCTTGCTAAAGGGGGATTTAGCACCGTTTTTAAGGCGATATGGTCTAATGGATATATTTCTACTTTTGATGATAAAAATGACCGATGGGCAAGAAGTAACAATATAAAAGTTTGCTTAAAAAGCCTTGATAATTCTAAGTACTTATCTAGCGAATTTTTAAGAGAAGTTAAAAATCAACATGTGCATGGGGGTAGATCGGCAATTGCCATTTATGGTTTAACGAAGGATCCGAATAATGATAACTATATAATTGTTATGCAGTATGCAAGAGAAGGAAGTCTCCGAAAATTATTAGATTGTAAATTTAAAGAATTAAATTGGTTAAATAAATTAGAAAACTTGCATTACATAGCGCAAGGGCTTGCAAAAATTCACAGAGCTGGATTAGTTCATAAAGACCTTCATTCAGGAAATGTTGTTAATGAAAATAAAACCAGTCCTTATATTACGGATTTTGGATTATGTAGACCAGCAGATCAGGGTTCAAGTACTAAAGAAATTTATGGTGTACTTCCTTATGTTGCGCCAGAGGTACTTTGTCAGAAAAATTACACACAACAGTCTGATGTCTATTCATTTGGAATAATTATGTCAGAAATCTTTACTGGAATTCCTCCATTTCATGACATTCCACATGATGAAAATCTCGCAGTAAGGATTATTTATTCTAATCTTAGACCTACCATCGAATGTAAAGTCCCACAATTACTTTTAGATCTGAGAAATAAATGTTTAGACATTGACCCTCAGAAACGACCGACTGCCAAAGATTTAGTACTTACTTTGAGACAATATCGAACAGACATACTTAAGAATAGAAAAACTGAGTTATGTAAACAAATTGAAGAAATTGAGAATTCAACTGAAAACTCATTAAATTGTAGTCAGATTAATTCAGCAGGGTTTAATTATAAGAGACATCCACAAGCTACTTATACAAGTTCACAACTCATGTGGGCTGCTGATTGGCTTTAACCGTAGCGAATTATTATATTTAACGGTTTTATTATTATTATTATTATTATTGTTGTTGTTGTTTGCTGTTGTTGTTTGTTGTTGTTGTTGTTGTTGTTGTTTCTCGGCCTGTTATTTTCTCTAAGAAAGTAAACAACTATATTCAATTATTGTTGCGATTCATGGTGCGTACGTATGTACAAATGTATTTAAGATAGTGGTAATCAAAAGGCTAGTGCTACCCTACAAGAGATCACATTTTCATATCAACGTTAAATCAGTCTATATCGCAAATGTAAGAATTGATTTACTGTGTCATTAGGTAGATTTTTAGCAAATTACAAAACAATTTGTTGGGTATCTTCACTTGAATATTAGAAATATGTTTATTTTTTTATTCAGTACCATATATATTAGTCTTCATGTTTTATGGTTGTTTTTTGTTGTTGAAAACATTTTAAATGTTAAAGCAGTCAAGATATTGAATGATTTCGAATTAAATTTATTGAGTCCTAACCTTATTTTGAAATTGATTACTGTTTAAATAACATACTTATTAACAAAAACATTATGTTCTTTAAATATATCTTTATTTTTAAATTTCTATTTACCCAGCATAGCGGGCTTTCATTGTGATTGGTTAACTTTTGCATCCCATGATCTTGCAAAATATGATTGGTTAACCGACAATCAAAAAATCGATTAAGGTGAAGACATTTTATACGAAGCTAAATTGTGACAAAATATTTTCATTACTATGAAATCTCAGTTAAAAAGTCCAAGATTATAATCCTAGCAGGCAAGATTTTATCTTATTAAATATCAAACTAAAAAAAAATAAACCATAAAAATTCTTTTTTATAAATCATTTTTTATAGTAAACAAATAACAAATTGCAACTAGATATACTTAGAATATTATAACTAAATAATTAAGAATAACTTGTAACAATAACAACAGACAAAGTTACTAAAAATTAAACAAAGCATAGAAACAACTTTCTACATTCTTGTTCTTTTTACAACCTTGTTGTTAACTACATTAGCAATTAAAATAAACAACAATAGCAATAAAAAGAATAACAACAAAATATATATAGTTGAAATTCAAAAGAAAAAAATATGACCTGCTTATATATATACTGATAACAGTGACATAATAGGTAAACAAACTAAAGAAAAAAAATGAAAACTAATTATAATATTATTATTTCATTCAAACAAATACTAGAAAAAACATAACAGAAGAAAATTTTAAAAAAAAAGAAAATTTTAATTTAATCTTGAATTCTCAAGACATGACATCATCAATAAAAATAAAAACAATAACAAATTCAATTCCAGATTTATATTAATCAATAAAAAAAAATATTCTTATAGATTTATAAAATAGTTAGAGCCAGATCCAGGTTCTTATTATAATTAACATAAGTCTTTCTATACAAGAAAAAAATAGAAATATAAATAAACTAATTCAGTTAGAACTAGTTTCTAGACCTAGTATACATGCAGATAATGATACAAATAAATAAATACCAAATATAGAACTAAACCAAAACACAACAAATACAAATATAAAAAAGAAAAAACATATTTAACAGACACAATATTAGAGGAACAAATACAAAAAAAGATATCATATAGTTAGATAGTTACTAAAAGTCTTCCAAAAAGAAATAAAAAAAACTCTAAATAATTTTAATAAAACAAAGAAAAAAAAAGATGTAAGCATATACAATTAGTCTTAATAAAAATTAAACAAGATAAATTAGAACCTTTCGACATGACAACTTGGACTTGACCAAAAATCAAAGATGTACTAATCTTCTATAATAATATTAAGAAATTAATTAAATACAAACTTTTTATGAAACCAACTACAAATTATATTTCAAAAACAATCATAGCAAAATTGTTTTATAGAAATATAGTATTTTTTAAAAGCTTTATACTAATCATTACAATCAGATTACAACATCAAATAGAATTTAATAATTTGTTTACAGAGCCTCTAGATATCTATAAAAAATAATATAATATAGTAGCAACAAACAAAAAAAATTGAGACCAAATTTTTGAATTACTATAAATTAAATTAGTAACAGATTATTTGACTAATCTAAACTTCAATTTAATGAATATATGAAAGATTACAAGATATATCTTTTATTTAATAGGATTTACAAAAATTTTATAACAACTAAATTTTAAAATAATCAGAAAAATAATATCAAGTCTTATTAATAAGATACTAATACTATTATCTTTAGAACCTACTTTGATTTTTAGTTATCTAATAAAAACTATCTCTTTTAGTCTATCTATCTCAAATTATCAAATTATTGCACTTGTAGTCAAGACTTTATATCTAATATTTTTATTTAATAAAATATCTGAAACATATATTTCAGATAATCATGAATCTTTACTAGATTTATAAGAACTTCTAAATAATGAAGCATACAACATATTTCTTATTATAAGCAGAGCAAGCTTACAAAACCTGGTCTGATACAGAGAAATCCTACAAAAGTTTTATATTTTTTAACAAATTCTAACTAGTTATTTTAAGCTATCAACACCAAAGAGCCCATTACTGTCTACTTTATAAGACTTAATTATCAGATTAAAAGAAAAGTTTTCTTTCTTATCCAAAAATCAAGAAAACTTTAAAGAACATATTAGACTTTTGTAAATAGTTTATTTATTTACAAGACTATCAAATGATTACATTATTTCATGTAAACAACTATCTAAAATCCTATAAACTTAAGAATAAGAGGCAGTATTTTAAAATTATATATAAACCTAATGATAAATTTTTTTATATTTAATTTTATAAAAAAATATATTAAGTAACTTAATTTTAATCATCAAGTAAAAATTGTAGAATCAGTCTTTCTGATTCTAATAATAATAAAATTATTAAAATAGATTAAAAACTTATTGAGATATTAATTTTTAAAGATTAGGATATAAAATTATATAATAAAATTAACTAATAGGTTTATATAAATTAATCAATTAAATTTTTTATTTTTGTACTATCTAAGAAAATTTTAACCCATCTAAGTAAACTTTGTTATATATACAAGTATATTTTTTTAAAATAATACAATACATCAAAATTTTACTATAATAGATAAATAATTTTATTTATAATCTTATAAAATTTTTTTATTAATTAATTAAAAAATAAAAAAGTTTTATTAGTAGCATATTTTAATTTTAGATAAAAATTTTAATATATTATACATAACTATATAAAAATAATCTATGTGCCTTCTACTTTTAAGAATATCAAACCTTACTTTTCTTTTACAAATTGCAGAAGAAATTAATTTATTTATTAAAAAATTGCCACCCATATATAACATTTTAATATTATTACCAAAAACATACTGTGATTTTATTTATATAAAACTTTTAGACCTATCAGAAGATACAAAACTGGTTACAATAGTAAACTTAACTTTAGTATTTTCAACTTTCAAAAAGCTAAGAATTGCATTCAAAGACTATATAAACACTATTACTTTTATACAATATTCCAATCTTGAATTAATATCTAAAAAAAAACAACTAAAACTTAGTGATACTTCAAATATACTAATTTTTATAATTGAAAAACTGCAACTAGCATTAGTAGAAAAAAAATTAAAAAATATAAATATTTTTATCAAAAAATATCACAATATTTTTTTGGTTTTGGAACTCTTTAACAAAACTTTTCTTATTACACAGTACCAGAATATATTTTCAATCTTATAGACTTAATTGAGCTATTCTTCAACATTTTTGAAAACAAAGAGATAGCCAATACAATACTAAAGAAATAAACATCTGCAACAAAGAAAAACTCTATGGCAGAAGACTTATAAGCATACATCCTAATACAAATATTCTATAATTAGTAGAAAATATAAATGAATTAAACCTATATAAATTTAATATAAATGAAAAAATTAACATTACTATTCACAATATTAGAGGAATTAATAATATACTAAAAATGCAAACCTGGATCAAACACTATACTAAATCAAGCTTACATATAATCTTTTTTACTGAAACTAAGCTAAAGGACTCAATTATGAAGTTACTAACTAACCCTTTATATAAAATCTATATCTTAAACTTTGTACTATATAAACTAAACCAATGTGAAGCCAATTTAAAAACTGTCTTAATGGTTTGTAATTAATTACAACTATATATTTTACAAAATCAACACCTTTCAAAGAACAGCTATATGTCTTGATTTCTTTTTTTCTAATAACAACAAATCTCAGATCATTTTAATTTATTTTCTTTCAAATTACCTATTTCTCTTAAAAAATACCTAATTTCAATTTCTTATCTGGATTACAGAAGCTAGAGCTAAAAACTGGCATCTAATCATATTAGATAACTTTAATGCTAATCAACTCAAAAACAAATATCTTCCAATATTCACAAATCTAAATACTACCAACCTAACAAATTTTCTCTTAATTTTACATACTGCTACTTTATCTATTACTAGCTTTTTATAATATTCAAATACCAACATAGCATGACCTAACTTTTGCTAGCCAAATTGATAATATCTGGATCTTATTAGATATATTATTAGCATTTGAATCTTTATTTCTAATTGATGCTTCTTACATTTCAGGCAGTGATTATTGTATTCTAAGTACAACCTAATATATAAACTTATTACTACAAAAAAACTTTAGAAACAAAAAAAAAAATATATATATATCTGTTTGAAAAAATAATACCAGAAAACTAAAAAAACTTTGAAGATTTACTCAATATCTGCTTTAATTTACAAAATATTTTAATATTAAATATGAACAGAAACAATAGAAACAAAATATAGAACTTCTGAACAGTAAAAATTAAAAAAAAATAAATAAACATATCTTATATATTTTTAATGCTTCTAAACTCTTCTTTGCATTTTTGCTAAAAGCAACCAAATTACATATTGCTCTAAAAAATATTAACAAATATCTATATTACCTCTTAAATAAC